AATTTATAATAAAGGTAAATGAGGTGTGAATTTTTTCTCCATCTATGGCAAACAACGAGTTAAAATGTAGATGATGATCATGATGACATCTATACTGTGATGATTCCAGCAAACTACTACATATCTTTATCTGTAAGTATCAAGGTATAGAAAGGGGATAGAGGAAAACTCTTAGTTGTATATTTATATTTTCCAAAGAAATGGCTGAGCTAAGAGAATTTTTCATTCCAAACCGAATATCTGATCTCGAGAATGCGTCGAAGACGGGTGAATTGCATTACTACGTCGATATGGCATCAGAATTTGACGTGCCAGGTCGCCAACAGCTAGATGATCTGACACGTCTGTTTGATTCCTTGTGTCGTGAGAAATCTCCGACAGCTCTTTTTTCAAAACGAGAGCTTTTTTATCCTCTGTATTCATATATCAAAGGGCTTACTAATGAGGGCTCTGACGTGCAGGTCACCAAGGCAGCACGACATAAAATTTGCCACGAAGTCGGTGAACGCATGAAAAAGGTTCTCGAGGTGACGTTGATCTTTTTAAAGAAAAAGAGGGACAATGTGGTCCCCTCTAACGCGACCCTAGAGATTTGTCTGAGATCGACTCTTAAAATGTACGTATTTATCCTGTGCAATATATTAATGTCAGTCGCTCCTCCACCTGAAGATGATGAAGGTGGCTTTGCCAGTATAGCTACGCCATCACAGCGCCGTGGTACTCGTCGGAAAAGGCGGCTCGGTGACTCCGAAGCTGGATTTGGCGATGATGAAAGTGGAGTTGACATGGACGGACGAGAATTAGCGCTTACCTCTCTTATTGAGCTATGCTCACCTGAAATTATGGCATTGTGGCCAGACAATTCCCTCGAAAGCGGGACACTCAACCTTATTATGAAAATGATTTTAAGGATGATCACTCAGAAATCAAACGTCCAGAATGACGCTTTATCGATTGTCAGTGCTTTAGTTTTGTTATTGGCGCGTACAACATTGTACATGCTAGCGAATAATCAAGCTTTAAATCCTTTTGACGTTGTCGCTCCACTGTTGGAGCTTTGCTTAAAATCTGAAAATGCTGCTTCATTTTTGTCCAAGTTTGTCGCCGACTTGGAGCAGGAGGATACATTTGGTTCCTTGACAGAACAAATCATCAGAGCGTTTTTCGAAAACCTGGTGCATGCTGCTCTTTACGAAGCAGTTTCCGATGGAGTCGCAGGTAAAAATGTATCCCTGTTTCTTACAGAAGTATCAAGGCGTAGCGTGAGTATCACTGTAAAAGTGGCTAGTGCCATCCTTCCCTGCATTCAGAGCGAAAATTACGACATCCGGAAGGCGGTTATTACATGTCTTGCTGAGATGATCTTGCAGCGTTACACAACCTCAGCTATCACTCCTGAGGAGGGGATAAAACGCAATGAGTATTTGAATGAGTTGCTTTTCCGTATCATGGATGTAAACGCATTCGTGCGTAACCACACCTTGCGCACATGGGAAAAACTGGCTGAGGCCAAGGCGGTCCCGAAACGCTACCACATTGCACTTACAGAGGCTGTTGTTGGAAGGCTGGAAGATAAAAACTACCTCGTGCGCGACTCCTCTATGTCTGTAGTGTCCTGTATTTTGAGGAAAAACTGGTTTGGCCATGTACTTAACGCCGCCCTTATTCTCAGTAAACTTGAGGAAGCGAAGACTGAAGTATTGGCAAAGTTTACAAGCGGTGAATCTGAAGTAAAAAAGCACCTTTCTTTTTTGAGGAAAGAATTTCGTCCAACCAATGAAGTCCTTGATGATTCATTGGAAGCGAATACGGAAAATGAGGAAGAGCTAAATGAAGGGGATGAGGCATGGGAGGACTCTAGAACTCTAACAAATGAACAAATGGCAGCATTGAGCAAGGTACTTTTCTATGAAAATGCTCTTTGCTTTGTGGAGTTGATAAAGGAGGCCCTTCAACACGCTACAACGCTGCTAGACAGCCGAACGGAACGTGATGTCTTTGAATCAATTAAACTTATTGTTGCTTGCTCCGAGTATCGCCTTGAAGATTCCACTAAGGCCTTTAGAAAAGTTTTAGTCATGGTGTTCGAAGGAGAAGTCAAAATTCAGCTCGCTGTGCGAGATGCATTTGCCGAAGTCGTTTTTGCATCTTTTAACCGACTTCCCGGCTCTACTGCAACCCGTGCTACTGCAAGTGCGCAGCGACTTATCAGCATGCTAATTGACGCCACAGAGGGGGAGATGAGTGCGGTGGATCGCATTTTTAGTTTGCTAAAGCTAAATACAGCGTACACTCGGTTTCTGTCAGGCCCCTTTATGGATGCCATTTGGGGAGTCGCGGAAGGTTCCGTGACTCAGGAGGCCACGATGAACGACTGTCGGACTGCCATGCGCATTTACAGCCTACTTTCTAAATACTTTTGGAAGGATCTTCAATTGAGGAAGGAGAGCATTTTGGAGTTTCTGGAGTCTGCCACCCATAAGGATAATATTCTTCTTTCTTACGTCTTTGCGGCGCTTCAGTGCGAGGCATTGGACCCACAATTTCGACCCATATCATCAACTGAAAATCCCAAGACCCACCGTGTTCTAAAGCATCTCGTTACGCACCTCTGCCGCAAGACCACCGCTATTGCATCTTGGATGTGTCTCGCTAGGGCTTCCGTGAACGCTATTCATCACTTGTGCGATGTTCCCGTAGCCATTTACAATTACGTCTTGGAGTATTTTGGCTCCTGCATGGACACAAGAAGCGACTGCAACACCAAGACCCAGCTTCTTTTTCTTGTGGGGCAAACTGCTTTCAAGCAACTGGTTGCCGTTGAGTCTGCGGAACGCCAACAGCTCAAGGCTCTTGAAGAGCTGACCAAAACGCCTAATAACAACAAAAACAATGTGACGGATTCCATGCAGAAGGAGCTTGGGTTCGGTTCGTATGAATTTAAACGTCACACTGTACACGAGCTAGCACAAAGGCAGAGACGTGCAATTCTTTCAGTGGGTTCTATTTGGCACAAGTTTTCCAAAGAAGTTGTATCTGTTTGTTGTCAAAAGCGGAGTGTTTCAGCTAGTAACTGTCCTCTTGAGCGTGTATGCGCTGTTATGACGCTTTGCCAGCTGATGATTGTCGATGAGGATTTTTGCAGGGAACATCTCAACATTATTTTGACAATTCCATCAGACAGGCGCGAGCCGTGGGTCGTGAAGACAAATATTGTGATTGCCCTTGGGGACCTTGCCTGCGTGCACCCCAACCTTCTGGCGCCATATCTGAGCGTGCCGACTACTGGACTCTTTAAGATGCTGGCGGATGATGATGAGCGAGTACGAGCCGTCACTATTCAAGTGTGCTCGCATCTGGTGTTGGGCGAAATGCTACGTGTTCGCGATCACTTGTACGCTATTGTTAGGCTAGTCGCTGACCCCAACGAGACGATCTCTAGCAACGCGGTAACATTTGTGCAAAACCTCGCTATGAAGGAAAAGGAAAAGATCGGCAACCTCATCCCGCCTCTAGTGTCTCAGCTTAGCAGCTTGATGCCAAGTGATAAATTCCAGCTTGCTGTGCGAACACTTTTGGAGCGTGTGGAAGGGGACAAACCAACCGACTCACTTGTTGAGCGTCTTTGCCAGCGTTTTGAAGCATTTTCGGAGCGGAGTATCAAGAAGCGGCAGCTGGCTCGAAATTTGGCCTTTTGCTTGAGTGAGCTTAACTACACCACGGATCGCTCCATTAAGCGCATCATGTCTGAAGCATGTTATCAGCAGTACCGTCACTGGTTGCGTGACCCAGAAGTGCTCCAGTTGTTCAAATCCATCGCTATAAAGGCAAAAAAATCTGGTCGTGTTGGGGCAGAAAGGCGCGACAAGAGCGCTATTGAGGAGTGGGAATCCAGGATGGTTGCCGACCTTTGCACTGAAAGTTCTCAAGAAGGAACTGAGTGTCTTAATGACGTGGATAACGAACAATAGACCGTGATCCGAATGACACCAGATATTTCTTTTTCTGTTCACTTAATAGAAACGATAGAGCACATTTTTCTTCGGACCCTGATAAAAAGAGTTTAGATGGTTCTTTAACTTCGTATAGATGGCATTTAAATGAAACACTTTTTTAGTGTTGGCACGTGTTATTTACTGCATATATTTTTAACACCATTGGTTTGATCTTGAAGAAAAGTCTAAATATTATCGCACTATTTTCTCTTTGAGTCGTTTAAAATAAATAATTAATTATCTTTGCCTAGAAAAATCTTGAATTTGTAAGCATACATGTTTATCGCTTGATTTCCGGCGCATCAGAATAGCATAAGAATGCCCCAAACAGCGCGTCGTATGAATGTGTCTGATTTCAAGCTTGACAAACAAATCGGGAGTGGTGCATTTAGTAAAGTCGTCATCGGTCTTCATATACCGACAGGTGTGTACTATGCGGTTAAGCTCATTTCTAAGAGAACCATTTTAAATGCGCCAACCGATGAGGAGCGAATCAAAATGGCTGAGGCAGCACGACGGGAATCGAGAATGCTTCTGATGTGTGTTCACCCAAACATTGTGCGGTTCTTTGGATCTATGCAGACACCGGAAGATTTAGTATACATCACAGAACTGTGCGAAGGGGGTGAGCTTCTCGATGCGATAAAACGACACCATCGCATTCCATTAGATGCTAGTAGACACGCCATCGCCGAGCTCTTTTCGGCAGTATTTTACTTGCATCATGGGGAGAAGAAGAATCTATCCCTCCCAGGAGCTCCACCGAAACCTACCACAGTCTTGCATCGCGACATTAAGCCCGAAAACGTAATGCTCAGTGCCAATATGCATGTCAAGTTGATTGATTTTGGAACTGCAGTTGTGTGTGATTCAGTTAACGACCGCCCCGAGGGTGAGACGAGTGGTGGCGGACGTGCACAAACGTTTTGTGGAACTTCCTATTATATGTCCCCCGAGCTACTCCAAGACAATTACACTTGTTGTGCATCGGACTACTGGGGTTGTGGCTGCGTTCTTTATCACATGCTTGTGGGGAAGCGTCCATTTGATGCACCAACGCAGTATCTCCTCGTGAGGGCGGTTATAGAGCAGGAGCCGGAGTATCCCGAAGAGTTGGACCCATTTGCAAAAGATCTTATTAGAAAGTTACTAATAAAATCACCCGAAAAACGTATTTCGATGCATGAAATCAAGGCTCATCCTTTTTTTGCGACAGTTGGTTTCAATAATCTTATGTCTGTAAACGTTGAGAATAAGTGGGTAAAAGAGACGCCATGGGTGGATGCGGGATCAGCCATGAAATGTGCAGATTGTAAGAGGTCGTTCTTCACATTTCGTAGGAAGGATTACTGCAGGTTGTGTGGTAATTACTTTTGCCTTCGGTGCCTTCCCGAGAGGCGCGCTATTGTTGCATTTCGTCATCGCTCCCCACAGGTGGTTTGCTCGCTTTGCTGCAAGAAGCTTGATCGACTATAGCAATGACCTGATTATGAGCAACTTACATGCAACATCATAAATATGCACCTTGTTTGCTTGAGGCTTCTACTATGCCCATTATGCAGCGTCATCTACTTGCTGCGTTTGGTTCGCTCAAAAGCCATATTTTAACTGACAGACAAGTAAGAACTCTACCACACATATGAACATCTGAATACCCACATCAATTTTGTTTGCATGGGATAACGCATATTCACAGCTTGCATCCATCTTTGTTTTCTTCTCTAGATGTCCGTTTTCCTGACCCAAGTGACATCCTTGTTTCTTATTTCTTCTCTCAAAGCAGTAGAGTAGCGAAGCTGATAAGAAAAATAGGCACCCTACTGATATGAGCATAAAAAACGCTGACGAGCAAGAAAGCTTATTGTCGCGCCTGCATTGGCTCATAGAACGCAGTAAAAATGACTTCAAAGGGAATCCTCCTCCTTTTGAGCAGCCCAAAGATCGAAAACTCGTAGAGCGAGAAAAGCAGCGGCGAGCTAATGTCTTAGCTGCTCCTGAAAGATTTTTACCCTTTCACCATGCCCCTAAGCCACTTGCCCTTGACGCAACACGCATTGATTATTTAAAGGGGGTAGACAACACTAAGTTCCGTACCATACTACTGCGCAAAGAAAACTCTACAAAGCAAAAAGTTGACCCTGAAACTGGACTTATTGAAATACAAGCTGCGCTTTGCTGGAACATCAAGCCTCGTTCTAAGCCACTGAACTCTGATGTGCGCTCTCAATCCGATCAACATCTTAAATATGCAACCAATGGGATACAAAATGATGTTGCGCGGCATGTCCGTAGTTCATCACCACAGAAGCATATTGTCGGACACATCCATGAAGTTCATTAACTCAAAAATTAGGTAAACATACTATGGGAGGCCATACCAATCGTT